AGATGAACACAAGGTGCCTCACCATTTTATAGCATTTGACGACAGTTGGCAACTGTTAGTTACTGAATGGAAATGCTTATAAATTCGCTATCAGTCGCTGAGATTGTGAAACTAGGACTCTTCATTCCAAGAAGTGATCCCAAACCATTAATTTACGGTCACAGATGTTCTCGCGCTGTCATGAAGTCTGTTTACAATTTCTTATTTTGTACTCCATCGAGAGGACGATGATGCCTTGTGCTTCGATGTCGTCTGCTTGACCAGACCCAAGCAAACTGAGCGAAATATCGACAGAGGCAAATCTTACAAATTCAGAGTATTGCAAAGCGGCTAAAGACGTCGATGAGAAAATAAGCAACAGACAGTGCTCAAGGTAGCTGAACAGAATTATTATGGGACGACGTCCTTGGTGAACCCCTGTTCAACATACAACAACACGACGTCAGTCGATCGCCTCGCTTAAGATGGCAATCACGCAACGTGGTAGGAGTGAAAAGCATTTCTTTGAACGACGTTGCTCTTAGTCCTTGACACGAACTGCACTCATTCATTTACAATAACGAAAGAAGTGACGTCAGCAAACAAAAGACAAGTAGAACGTCGCTAGGACGTTTCTTTCAGCATCGTTTTTGGCCTTGTGAACTTTGTTTTGAGGAAAAGTTTTGTCCTCGCCGACGAGTGACATACTTGGACAGCTGTTTGTTTCAATTACCGGGGGAATGTTCTTCGGAGTGTCGCGTTTTCGCACCGTGACATCTGCAACCTTTCTTTCGCTTACAGTGTAAAGTGCTGTTTCTGATGCTCACGTACGTAACGACGCGGTTTTCAGCGACGCCGTATTTCAATAGTTACCGGTCACATTATTCGGAAAATAGGATTTATGAGATTGTCCTGATCATCACGTTTGAAGGCAATCCTCTGGAAATAAATTTTACTGTTCAACTCATCAATAGCAATATTTTAATGTAAAACAGAACATTGTACAGTATTCCCCTTTTCGTTGCACACAAAATCGTGAAACATTCAAGAATATAATAACAGTTCATGATTAGCCATCTACGTAGGAGAATACCATCCGTCCACTCGGTTTTGATTATAACCATAGACGCTCAGAACCTAGCGGTTGTGCACACCATAGACACATGCATAAATTCTAAAGGCTAGCTTAAATGCGAACGTGCAGCAGATGTTCATATTTTGGACCACCATTCAGTAAGCGAATATCCACCAAACAATAATAGAACGAAAGTGCATATGACATTGAAAACTGTCCTCGGTGGCATTCACGCTTGAACCTGAGACTCTAACAATACACTCCTAAATATGGAAAGAATGAGGGAAGAAACATTACAGGACGAAAGTGATCAACAAAATGTTGTTCAGAAACCTAAACTATTCTCTCAAGGACTGAGAATGCTTAATCGGTTATACAGGCATAGTATAGCGCTTGATGTAGCAGATCCTTTAAAAACATGGTACTCAGGACATGTAACAACCTCCGACCAGGTCTCCTATGACGAGAGCCCGTCCGGACATCCCTTTGGAGATTTGTCAGAATTTGAGGATAAAATGTACCGCTGCCTAATCGTACACTCTACTTTCCTCACTGAATTACTTTATAGACACTGCACAAAAGCGCTATCTTCCACGACGGACTGCTTGTTTCATATATGCTCTTCGAACGTTTAAACCAATCCTCGTTCGCCAGCACCAGTACGTTTCTCACCTGACGCTGTAATGACCAATCTACGCTACTGATCATCTGAAGATCATACCGTGAGAACCGTCATCGCTAAGCGTCTATCATCGGGATAGTGTCATCGCCCGGAGTTACCATGGAAACATTCTTGGCAAATCTGCATCGCCCATTAACTTGGCCTAACCTGAAAGCAGTTAATGCGCTAATGGTCGAACCAAGCCGCCCGTAAGAACATCGCCCCATGCAGGGTCAGTAGGGTCTGTTACACACGCGGTAGCCAAGTCAGGAGTCGCATATTGGACCAAGATATGGTTAGGTGTGTTTTCTATCGGTGCTAAAATAGATGTCTTGGCCTAATAGCAGATAATGGGCTTTTTAACGCTGTTAAGGCAGATCTACTCACACTGAATGCAACCATGGACCGAAGGAGCAAAAGATTTTGCAGCATTCGCTCTTTCCAGTGCCTGAACGAAACTCAATGTTGTTATGACGCATATTATTACTATTTAAGCAGCCATCAGACGTACATTAAATTTTACTGAGGGACCGAGGAAAAAGGTACCTTATGCCTTTATTTCTATTGATTCTGTCTGAATAATTCAGTGGAGGCGACATTTAATATTTAATTTGTCGCGAATCATGCACTAATTATATCTGTGATCCTACAAGAAAAACTTCAGATCATAATCAACCAAGATTTTTATCTGCTTTATAGTAGTTTCATTTATGAATCATATGAATCATCACTTCCTTGTTGTCTTGCCGTATGCGAATATGCTTTAACATCGAGCCGAAATCGTGACATATAATTTTTATTGGTAAAGAGGCTTCCATATCTCTTTCAATATGTATTTCCACAGCAAAGTACTTTCACATCTGTACCGTGAAGTGGGGTTCCAACTGAATTTTGCATTTATTTCCATAACCTCGCCTTACAATTGCAGATTTTAACTTAAAGGCCACGAGGTATGATAGAGTGCTAAGTGCCTGATCGAGTGTCAGTCAGTAACCCAGCTACTGCATTATTGTCGCGTTTAAGCGGTTAAGTATCAACTCAGAAATTTTCAGTCTTCTCTGCTCTTTGAAGAGAACGAACATTCCATGCATATTTGGTCAAAAGTTCAGGCAGCCATGATCACTGCTGTTGTACATACTTTAAAACTATTGGTGTGGACGATTTTGAACTACAGCTGACGGACGGACTGAGGGTAAGACTCAATAGAAAATACGAACTAACTCATAAACAACGATAAGTGTGATGCTTTGTGTGTGCCAAACGAGCAACGGTTCATCACAGCATTACGACTGCGCAGGCGACCGTTGCAACCAGGTCTTCTTCAAGCAGCCACAGGGTGGTTACCATGATGATGAGGGGTCAGTGCAGGATGTTAATGTCTGTGCACAGTATTGGCGCATTGTAAGCCAGCACTTCATTTGGTAAACACTTTGCTTTACTTTACTCGTCGTTTAATAGATGTGCTGTCGCAAGCATTTCATACAGTACGATTAAAATCTTCTGTTGACCTGCAACATTGGAATCCAGGGTTCGAAACCATAGGCGTTAGTCATATAGCCCATATTTTTTGAACATCTGAAATCACAGGACCCCAGCTCATCGAATCTACCAGGTTTAACGGAGAACCGAGCTCATTCGTAAACCTCATGAGGTCGCTGTGCAATTAACCTAAAAGAAATAGCGGATAGGTGAGTTTCTGACCATGAACGAGAGTTCAGAATAATTAGTATATTTGGTGTAAAGCTGAGAGTTGTAACTTTACACTGCATTATTGTAAAGCCTGCAAGGGTTTAAATACCACCGTGTTGA